GCTCGCCAGACAGACAGAGAGAGACATAGAGACAGAAAGTGAGAAATCACCCCCCAGGGGGGATGGTCATGCCACAATCCCTTCTCCTCCATTCTCCTCTTGGGATCTTGGGCACGCACGCACACGCGCCCTGCGTGAGTTTTAAGTCACCGGGTCCAGGACGCGAACTGCGGTCGACTACATGGGAGTCCAGCGACATAGTCATTACGCTAACTGCTGGCTCCCTACCCAGTGTGAGTTTTAAGCCACCAGGTCCAGGGCTTGAACTGTGATCAACTATGTGTGAGTCCAGTGATGTAACCATTATGCCAAATGCTGGTTTTTAAGTGAGTATTTGTTTGAATTTCCTCTCTAGCTTGTTTCTCACTAATGTATTCCTTCTCATTTATCCAGAAACACCCACACCAGAACTTTGTGGCATATAGTGCAGAGAAGAGGGGCCTGCTGTGGACTGGAATAACAACTGTCATTTCTAAATACCCATCATCTGGAAAAAGGCCAAAAGTGAGTATTTCTTAAGGACCGAGGCAGGATAATATGATTTCCAAAAGTAGAAGAAAAATGTGTCCTAAAATCTTTCTACCACATGTCCTTACTGTTTCTTCATATTCATTTCAGGGGGGCAAATCCTTTCATTCCATGGTTGGAAGTGAAAGTTGCTCAATATACAGAATAAGGCAGAGGAAAGTAACAAAAAGGCAGCACCTGTGTTGAAGCTCAAGTGGGTGACAACAGAGTTTTGTAGTCTTTAAAAAAATTTTTTTTATTTGCCAAAAAGCAACAAAGTGAGAACGTACCCCAGTGGGGCATTGTCATGCCTCAATCCCTAAGACAGGCATGTACACATGTGCCTGATGTCTTTTTCAAGTCTTTGGGTCCAGGACTTGTTCCCCATGGTTGGCCATGTGGGATCTAGCTTCTTTAATCACTATGCCACTAGCTGGCCCATTCCTAGTTTTAGTTTCTAAGTGCAGGAGATTAAAAATAGGGATTTAGACAATTAAAGGCAACCCTAAAGACTGACTCTACGCTTGGTGGCTTTTTCCTGTTTGTTTGTTTTTTTAATTGCCAGAGGCCATGTATGTGCACCAGAGAGAGAGAGAGAGAGAGGAGGGAAGATGGGGAGAGGGAGAAATCACCCCCCATTGGGTGTAGTAATGCTGCAATTCCTTTTCCTCCATTTTTCTAACCTGTTGGGATCTGGGCATGTGTACACATGCACCCAGTGTGTTTTTTTATGAAGCTCCTGGAACCAGGATCCAAACCATGCTCGACCATGTAGGATCTGGCTCCCTAAACCAGTAGGCTATGGGGCTGGCTCATCTTTTTCTTATTTTTTTAAATTGAGATATAACACACCATAAAATACAGAGTTTTGGAGGCCAGCAGGTAGCATCGTGGCTAAGGCACTGGACTCCCACATGGCCAACAACATTTAGAGCCCCAGACCCAGTGGCTTGAAAAATCACAGCCAGTATGTGTACATGTGTGCCGAAATTCCCAAGAGGAGACTGGAGGAGAAGGGATTGTGGTGTAACATGCCCCCCCTGGGGGGGAGGGAGTGATTTCTCATTTACATTCTTTGTTTCTCCTGGTGAGCACATGTACTTTATAGCAAAACCTTGGGGAAAAAACCACACATACAATTAAAAAAAATTTTTTTTTTCCCTTTATCCACGATAGGTAGTGTATATACACAAAAGAGAGGGAAAGAAGGATAGTCCACAGGGTTTGTCACACTGTAGTTTCCTTCTTGCAGTCCTCCAGCCCTTCAGATTTTGGGCCTTGTGTGAATGCTTAGCATGATTTAGGCCCAGGCTGGGCCTGGCTGGCCTCTTTGCTTTCTTCTAAATTTTTGTCATAGGGCACATGTGCTTGCCAGAGACAGACAGAGACACAGAGACAGGGAAAGTAAAAAATCACTCCCCTCCGGGAAGCACTACCACACAGCACTCCTTTCTCTATTCTCCTGGATTTGGGGCATGCACACACACATACCTGGTGTGATTTTCAAGCCACCACGGGGTCTGGGAGTCGGTTATGTGGGATCCAGTGCCTTAACCCCTGCACCACCTGCTGGTCCAATTTGGCTTCTCTTGAGCTGCACATTACCACTGGGCTACAAAACTGGCACCAAATTTACCATTACAATTTAATTTAATTATTTACTTGTGAGAGAGAAAAAGAGAGAGGAAAAGCACCCCCTAAAGGAGTGTGGTCGTGCTGCATTCCCTTCTCCCATTTCTCCATTCTGTCAGATTTGGGGCACACATGCACACACAACTGGTGTGTTTCTTAACTCGTTGGTGCTGTATTTCACACACAGTCAGCCATGTGGGATCTGGCTCTCTTCACCATAAGGTCATAGGACTGACCACCAAATTCACCACTTTTAAAATGTACAATTCAGTGGTTTGAGTATATTTAGTATGTTGTGTAATTTTTGCCATTATCCAATTCCAGAATATTTCACCACCCCAAATCAAAACGCTGTTAGCAATCACTCTCCACTCCCTCCAGCCCCTGGTGACCACTGTTACACTTTCCATGTGTGTAAGATTTGCCACTTCTGGCCATTTCACTTAAATAGACTCATACAGGTCTATTCTGTCTCTTATCATGATTTTTTTAGGTTATTCCATGTTGTGGCATGTATCAGTACTTCATTACTTTTTATGACTCAGTAGTATTTCATGGATATTCTAATGGCCATTCCATTCATTTCATAAATGCCCTCATCAGCCAACAGATATTTAAGTTCTTTCTACTTTCTGGCTATGATGAGTGGTGCAGCTGTTAACATTCACATATGTTTTTGTGTGGCTGTGAGTTTTGTTTTTTTTTGGTTTTGTTTTTGTTTTAGAGGTTTTCGCTATAGGGCACGTGCGCTCACCAGACAGACAGAGAGAGACCTAGAGACAGAAAGCGAGAAATCACCCCCCAGGGGGGATGGTCACGCTGCAATCCCTTCTCCTCCATTCTCCTCTCGGGATCTTGGGCACGCACACACACGCGCCCGGCGTGAGTTTTAAGCCACCGGGTCCAGGACGCGAACCGCGGTTGACTAACGTGGGAGTCCAGCGACATAGCCATTACGTTAACTGCTGGTTCCCCATGTGTGTTTTGTTTTTTTTAAAAAAACCTAGGAGTGGTATTGTCTTATGGAAATTAATATTATTATTTGCTACAGGGCACCTGTGGTAGCTAGAAAAAGACAGAAAGAGAGATAAGGAAAGTGAGAAATCAGTCCCCAGCGGGGATAGCCAGGCCACAGTCCCTTCTCTTCCAACTCTCCTTTTAGGATTTTGGTCACACATGCACACATGCCAGGTATGTTTCACAGGCCATTGATGTTGAACCTCAAATTGTATGTTCAGCCATGTGGGATCCTTAACCATGATGCCACCACCACTGGCTGGCCTTTTTTCTTTTTAAAATGATATTTCATGTTTAACCTCCTGAGATTTGTGCCAGTATTTTCCACAGCAGCAGCACCGTTTTACATTCTCAACAGCAGCGTGTGAGGATTCCAGTTTCTCCATCTCTTCAGGACACTTCCCATGGTCTCCCTTTTTGCTGATCAATTATCCCAGTGATATTAGTTGGGTCTCACATGGTGTTGATTTGCATTTCCCTAGTGACTGATGAGGTCTAGCACTTCTAACCTGCTTACTGGCCATTTGCATTTCTTCTTTGAAGAAATGTGTATGTAAGTGTTTCCCCCATTTTTAACTGGACTGTTTGTCTTTTTATTTCTGAGTTCTTCCTTATATTTTAAGAGGACAAAAAGGGAGAGGCAGAGATTTAAACAGTGAGAAATTTAAATTAGATCGCAATTTCTGACTTTGCAGATCTCCAAGTGCCAGGGCTGGTGAGAACAGATGGTGGGTGGTATGGCAGTGGGCATGTTACTCAGAAGAAACCTTAAGTCCTGTTCCAACCAAAGGAATCTTGAAAGACTCTGGCTCAGGGTCACCTATGCATAGAGGCTTTGGTGGTGACTAGGTTTTCTTTTTCGTTTTTAAGAAACACTGCCTGGGGATTATGTCAGGTTAAAAAGCTTCAGTGGGAAATTATTTATTGATGATAATGTGAATAATAATATCTTTAACTGGACCAACATGCAGTGTATTCATGCTGGGAGAATTCACTTGCATACTGTATTGATATGCAGTGATTGAATATATAAAAATAAATAAAAATCATTCAAATAGGAAAAATAAATGCTTCTGAAAGCAAAAGAAACAATAATTAGAATGAAAAGACAACTCTGGGAGTAAGAGAACATATTTGCAAGCCATGCCTCAGATAAAGGACTCATTACCAGAATATGCAGGGAACTCAAGCAACGTACCTGAAAGAAAAAAAAAATCAATCCAATTAAAGATGGGAAAACAAACTGAACAGACAACTTGAGGAAGACGTATGAACAGCCAAAAAGCATATGAAAAAATGCTCAACATCCCTTATCATAAGGGAGATGCAAATCAAAGTCACAATGAGATACCATCTAATCCCAGTCAGAATGGCTAAGATTCAAAAAATAAAGAATGATAAATGCTGGTGAAGCTGTGTGGGAAGGGAACTTTTCTTCACATTGGTGGCAGTGTAAATTAGTACAACCATTGTGGAGAATAATAGGAAAATTCCTCAAAAACCTACAAATAGAATTGCCATACAAACCAGTAAATTCCACTCCTGAGTATCTACCCAAAGAATAGGAATACACTCAGTAAAGTACTTGCACATCCATGTTTATTACAGCATTGTTCACAATTACTAAAACATGGAATCAACCCAAAAGTCCCAGAACAGTTGAATGAATTGAAAAAATGTGGCACATATGAACTATGGAATACTACTCAGCCATAAAAAACAATGAGACCCTGGCATTTGAACAAAACTGGATGAATATGGAAGATTTAATGTTGAGTGAAGCAAGACAAACTATGAAAGGAAAACATTGTACGCCCCCACTTAATATACACCAAATGTCTACACTCTGACAGAAACTGAAAAACTGAAAGGTATAAAGGCATGAAGAGGGACCAGCAGTTAGTGTAATGGTTATGTCACTGAACTCCCATGAAGCCAACCGCGGTTCGAGTCCCAGACCCAGTGGCTTAAACTCACGTTGGGCGTGTGTGCGTGTGTGCCCAAGATCCTGAGAGGAGAATGGAGGAGAAGGGATTGCAGCATGGCCATCCCCCCGGGGGGTGATTTCTTGCTTTCTATTTCTCTGTCTCTCTCTTGTCTGTCTGGCGAGCGCACGCACCCCATAGCAAAAACCTCTCAAATAAATAAATAAATAAAGGTATGAAGAGCAACTGTAAATAGCAGAGACAGTGTGGGAGGAAGATGGACAATGGAGGTGAGATGAAAGGAAGAGTATTGGGGGTAAAAAAAAGAAGTAAAATCACTTAATGAATACAAGAATGGAAAATTACCTGATGCTAAGGTATATGGTAATATCTTTGACGAGTAATAGACAGTGTGTTCATGCTGGGAAAACCCATTTTGTATGCTAAAAAGCTGTACAGTGATTTAATGTAAAAAAAAAAAAAAAAAAGGGACCAGCAGTTAGCTAAATGGCTATGTTGCTGGACTTCCATGTAGTCTACCGCAGTTCAAGTCCTGGACCCGGTGGCTTAGCCTCACGTCAGGCACGTATGCGTACGTGCCCAAGATCCTGAGAGGAGAATAGAGGAGAAGGGATTGTGGCGTGGCCATCCCCCCTGGGAGATGATTTCTCACTTTCTGTTTTTCTGGTGAGCACACGCGCCCTATAGCAAAAACCTCTCCAAAAAAAAAAAAAAAGCAGCTGGCACTTCAGATAGTAGCTAAGGGCACTGGACGCCCCCATAGCCAACTGTGGTTCGAGTCCCGGACCCGGTAGCTGCTTTCTCACTTTCCTTCTCTCTCTCTCTTGCGTATCCCTATGTGGTCAAATTTAAATAAATAAATAAAGTTAAATAAAATCGTTAAAAATATATTTTTAAAGAATTAGTTATTTGTTGTTATTTTTATTACTATTATTATTTATTTGACCAGCGAGAGACAGAGAAAGAAGGGGAAGTGAGAAAGCAAGCCCCCAGGTCCAGGACTTGAACCATGGCAGTCTAGCACCTCAACCACTGTGCCACCTGCCAGCCCTGGAAAAAAAAGATACTAAGCTCTTTTCTTTTTTTTACAAGAATTATTCCATTTAATATTTATTTATTTATTTATTTATTTATTTTAATTCAACCAGAGGAGGACAGAGCAAGAGAGAGAAAGAAAGTCAAAAGCCAAGCCGCCAGGTCCAGAACTTGAACTGCAGCTGGCCATGTGAGAGTCCAGCACCCTTAGCTACCACACCACCTGCCTGCTCAAAAAAAAAAAAAAAAAAAAAAAATAAAAGACAAAAGACAAAAAATTAAAAAACACTGCCTGAGCACAGAGCCTTGGGAAGTCTACCTGTGATTCTTCTTCCTTAATAAAATGGGACTAAATAGACACTCCTCTTTGGTTCACAAAGCTGTTGAAAACATTCGTTTTATAGCTTCAAAATTTATCCTCTCTTAGACAAAATATTCAGAATAAGAGGCTTTTTCTTTCAGATTCTAACTCTCCCTCCCCTTTTTTGTCCTTTTAAGAAAATAAGGGCTTCGGGCCAGTAGATGGTGTGGTTAAGGTGCTAGATTCCCACATGGCCAAGTGCAGTTCAAGTCCCAGACATGGTAGCTTGCTTACTCACTTTTCCTCTCTCTCTCTGTCTCTCTCTCATCACATTAAAAAATAATAATTAAAATAAATACTTTTTAAAAAAGAAGGGCTTGAGGAACCAGCAGTTAGCGTAATGGCTATGTCGCTGGACTCCCACGTAGTCGACCGTGGTTCGTGTCCCGGACCTGGTGGCTTAAAACTCACGCCGGGCGCGTGTGCGTGCGTGCCCAAGATCCCGAGAGGAGAATGGAGGAGAAGGGATTGCAGCGTGACCATCCCCTCTGGGGGGTGATTTCTCGCTTTCTGTCTCTATGTCTCTCTCTGTCTGTCTGGCGAGCGCACGCGCCCTACAGTGAAAATCTCTCCAAAGAAAAAAAGAAGGGCTTAATGATAAAAAGACAAATAGCCCAATTTTAAAATGGTCAAGGGTGACACCAGCAGATGGCGTAATGGTTGCTTCACTGGACTCCCACATAGTTGACCATGGTTCGAGTCCCAGACCCGGCAGCTTAAAGTTCAGGGTGGGCACGTGTGCATTTATGTGTGCCTTAGATCCCAAGAGGAGAATGGAGAAGGGATTGCAGTGTGGCCACCCCCTGGGTGATTTCTCTCTTTTTGTCTGTCTCTGGCAAATGCACACGCACTATAGCAAAAATCTCTCTCTTAAAAAAAGGGGAGGAGTTTGGACCAGCAGATGGCGTAATGACTATGTCGCTGGACTCCCATATAGTTGGCCGTGGTTCAAGTCCCAGACCCGGTGTCTTAAACTAAAGCCAGGTGCGTGTGCATGCATGCGTGCCCAAGATCCTGAGAGGAGAATGGAGGAGAAGGGAGTGCAGCATGGCCATCCCCCTGGGGGGTGATTTCTCGCTTTCTGTCTCTGTCTCTCTCTGTCTGGCGAGCACATGTGCCCTATAGCAAAAACCTCTCTAACAAAAAAATAGGGGGGAGGGCAAGGACTAGCCCTGGGGCCTGGTTGTTAAGGTGTTTGGATCCCATGTGACTGACTGTGGTTTAAATTCCAGCTACATTGGCTTGAAAAACATGCCAGACACATGTGCATGTGTGCCCTAAGTGAAGAAGCAATTGCAATATGACTATACCCCACTGAGGGGTGCTCCTCCCCCCACTCCCTTTCTGGCAAGCACAAATACCATCTGCAAAATAAAAAAAAATTAAATGGGTGAAGTGTGACTTTGCCCTTCCTTTGTTGACCAGTGGCCAGGACTTCTCTCAGACATGCTGCTTTGGGGCCAGAAAGTCAAGAGTGTGGTGAGAGGGGCCCACGTTTTTGAGGAAAAGGTGCCGACTACGACTTTCTCCTTTGCTGTCCCAACAGGGCAGATGTTCTTAGACCAGATGAAGACTGAGGAGCCTTCTAGCTCTCATACAGCAGGATAGTAAAACTGCTCAGTCCGGACCTGCAGAAGCCTTGCTGGGCCTCTCCCTACAATGTCAGGTAGAACTGGGGCTTGGACTTGGACATGGATAGGAGATTCTCACCTAGGAGCCGGAAGGATGGGAGCTGGTTTGTCTTTTTAAAAAAACACCATTCAGATAAGAGAGGGGAAAATAGAAGTTGGTCTGTGGGCTTCTGGGAAAGTTACAAAACTTCTCAGCTCAGTTCTCCAGTTCCCTCTTCCCACCTCCTGGGAGTCCTCATTCCTACCAGGTAGAGAGAGAAGCAGGAGGCGCAGTTAGTTATGTTTGTAATATGCTGTTGCTTTTCCCTTCTCTAGGAATTCGCCCATTTCTAGGAAATTTCTTCCTTTCTCTCCCTCCCCATCATTCCGTGCCTTTAATACTGGTTCTCCTGGAGGGGAGGGGTTGCTCCAGCTTGCTTTTGCCTGTTTTTTCTTGACCGTCCTGTCCTGGTCCTCTTTGGTCTTAGGAAGCTACATACCTCCTGCAAGTGGCCCCTTCTCAGCCCTGACTCCGAGCATATGGCCCCAGGAGATCCTGGCCAAGTCCACACAGGTACAGCAGCCAGCCCTGCCAGGCACCAGCTCTTGCACGGAGAGACCCACCTCTGTAGGCTGCCCACGAGTGGGTGGCCCGCTTCACCATTTTCACATAGTGTCACCACCAGAGGTGGCAGCATAGCTCCACGTGTCTGTGTGATGCAGTCTTTAGGCTGCAAGAAGAGTCCTGTGGCACTGTGCTGTCAGCACTGGGGACTCAGCAATGCACAAGACATGTTTCTTGACTTGATTTACTCTCTCTGACCTCTGAAGAGAACAAGGAAGATGATAGGAGAATTCAGAAAAGGTAGTGACCCTCTTTAGTCAAGGGATGAGCAGAGGAGGCTTTATAGAAGGGTGGCCTTTGCTCTGAGTCTTGACAGTGGGGTGGAATTCAGCAGGCAGCCTTATGAATGGCACCTTTCATGGTCAAGCTATGGTCCTGGACTAGGAAGGGGTGACTCACTTTCTTCATAATCCTGGTCCTAGAAGGAAGAGTTGGAGCAAGCGGAGTTCTGCTACGATGAGTTCGGTTTCCGCATGGACAGGGAAGGTACGATTGGGCCCCACCTGTGTGCTCTTGATGTCCTGGGAGAGGACACAGCTCCAGGACTCAGGGGACACAGAGCCTGACCTCTGAGCTCTGGGTCTGTCCCCTGTTGAAGGATGGAGGCAGATCTGAGGGTGGTGGTGTCAGAAGTGTTTGTGAGATACATTTTACTGATCTTCACCTGATAATAAAAGCAAGAATATTTATTGTAAGGAGTTAAAAAATTAATTAAAATTTAAAAAATGAAGATTAAGATAAAGTTAGCCGATTAAGTCCACAACCCTAAGATAACTGCTGGCATCTTAGTTTATTCTTTGCCTGGTTTTCTGTGCATGGACCTGTGTACACTATCCATAGTAAGATTATATTATATTGACACATAAATAACATTAGATCAGGAGTATTTTCTCATATCAGTTAAGACCTCTTTAAAAGTGTGCTCTTTAAAAGCACATTTTTAAATGGCTGCACAATATGCTATTCTGATGGATTTATCATATTTCTATAACTGCTTTCTGTAAGTGGGCCTTGAGGCCTTTTCCACTGTTTTCTGCTATAAATAGGCCTATTGATGCCCGCGCGGCTGTCGGCAGGCCATCTGCCAGAGCCCCAGGTAGCCTATCACCAGAACAGAACTGTGGTTGGAACATTTGTATTGTTCAAAACTGATCATCTTCAGGGCACTCATATTTCTAATTCTGACATAAGTTTTTCTGTTCTAATTTGAGGACAGATATTTGAAGCTAAAAGTTGGGGTGCAGGGGGAGAGAGAACTTTCTAGTGTGATACCTTCGTGGGTCTGTGGATTCAGAGTCTGAGTGCTCACCACTGCTCTGTGGGATTGCTGTGTCTTGACGGGGACAGTGTGTACATGTTTGTTTATTAGAATTCACTAAAATGTGCAGGTAATGTCTGTGCATTGACTGTGTTAAAGCCATTAAAGTTGACTTTTCCAAAAGCTGAACTGAGGGTGTGACTTTAGGACTGAGGACTGCCAGGCTGCCAAGGTAGTAGGTGAGGACGGCATGAGACAGGGCTGGAGGAGGCAGAGGATGAGCTCCCGAGGCCTTTGGCATTGAGTGAGTGAGATGGTGCTGAGCTGAGTGACATGCTCTGGCAAGTACCTTGTAAGGGTCACTGTAACCGCTGTGAACCCTTGGGAGGCGAGGGTATGGAGAGGCTACGGTGAGTGACCCTGGTGAGACACAAGTGCTGAGCGGGGTGGTAGAAGGTAGAGAAATCCGGCTGTGTTTGGTGGTAGATCAAATGTGGAGTCTGGGCAGAGGAGGGGCCAAAGGTGGCTCCAAGGTTTAGGCCTGAGCATCTGGGGAATGGAGGTGGAGTCTGATCTGTCAGGAGCCCCTTGGGGGAGACAGCGCTGGGCTTGGGTTTGCTGTCAGGCGTGGTGCAGCTAGAGGATGGGTGATGGGACTGGATTTCAAGGGCATCTGTCTTAGAGGGACAGCACTCAGGGCCCTTTCCAGTACAGGCCTGGGCTGCTTTGGAGAAGGTGTGGTGTGGGGTACACACCCTTCCTCTTCTGCTCACTGCCTGTGCTCGGCACCCTCCTGGTGGAAGGTGCTGAGCTTGGTTCTGGTCCCCTGATGAGTACACCCTTGATGGAGGACCCCGCGCAGAGGCTGCGGTGGCAGGCCCACCTGGAGTTCACCCACAACCATGATGTAGGCGACCTCACCTGGGACAAGATTGCCATCTCTCTACCCCGCTCCGAGAAGCTTCGTTCCCTGGTGCTGGCTGGCATTCCTCATGGCATGAGGCCACAGGTGAGAAACCCACAGTAGGGCCTGGGTCCTGGCCCCAGGATCAAGTGTCCAAGGACTGAGCACATGCGTGGCCCCTCCCTCAGCTATGGATGCGGCTCTCTGGGGCCCTGCAGAAGAAGAGGAACTCCGAGCTGTCTTACCGTGAGATCGTGAAAAACAGCTCTAATGACGAGACCATTGCAGCCAAGCAGGTGAGGCTGGGGCGGCCCAGGACCCTGAAGGAAGAGCTTTCTGGCCAGAGACCCTGTGCCTACGGGGGCAGGTGGCTGCCTGGACTTTTGGGATCATGCCCTTGGCAAGTGTGCTCTTTTGCCTGCAAATGCATGCCTAGAGGAAGCTTGCTCCCTCCTGGGTCCTCTCTATGCCTCACGGATAATTGTTTGAGAGAGCCCCATGCTGTGTTAGGTCTACACCGGGAGCAGGTGGGGATTTTGAACAGAGATCCTGGCCTCATGTTAGATGGCCTCACTCAGTGGGTCTAGCATGAAGCTGCCCAGGTGGGTTTGAGGTTCTTGTAACTGACCTGGTGTATGGAGAGAAGCCTGCTTCCTCCCAGGCTGTCTCACAGCGGCTGTCATGGGTATTGACAGATTGAGAAGGACCTGCTCCGCACCATGCCCAGCAATGCGTGTTTCGCCAACGTCAACAGCATCGGGGTGCCTCGCCTGCGCAGGGTCCTTCGAGCACTGGCCTGGCTCTACCCTGAGATTGGCTACTGCCAGGGCACTGGCATGGTGAGCATGGCCTGGCGGGGGTCTTTTCTAGGCCAGGAGGCGGGAGGGGCGCAGGATCTCCCAGGAGGTCAGACACTGTGCGTGTGGTTCAAGCAGTGTGGGCCTGGGGCCCTACACAGAGGTGTGCCTACCCGGCCAGCCCAAGGAAGACCCCTGTCCATGGTGTGTCTTCAGCGAGGCTCAGTCTACTTGGTGGCCCCAGAGTGAGCACCTTTTCTAATTCACACAAAGTCCTGGGTGGAGACTCTTCTCCCTGCCCCGGCCAGGTGGCTGCCTGTCTCCTGCTGTTCCTGGAGGAGGAGGATGCCTTCTGGATGATGAGCGCCATTGTTGAGGACCTGCTGCCTGCCTCCTACTTCAGCACCACCCTGCTGGGTGTCCAGACCGACCAGCGGGTCCTTCGCCACCTTATCGTCCAGTACCTGCCTCGCCTAGACAAGCTGCTGCAGGAGCACGACATCGGTGAGTCCTCAGACAGCCGGCGGGTGGTGCCGCTCTCCCCAGGCTACCCCAGTGGCCGTGTCTTTCCTCAGAGCTGTCCCTGATCACGCTGCACTGGTTCCTCACCGCCTTCGCCAGCGTGGTGCACATCAGGCTGCTGCTGCGCATCTGGGACCTGTTTTTCTACGAGGGCTCCCTGGTGCTGTTCCAGACCACATTAGGCATGCTGCGCCTTAAGGTGCTTGTGAACCCCACTGCAGCCAGGCCAAGGCCCTGGAGTCATGTGTTGGCACAGCTGCGCCAACAGATGCAGCTGGATTCAGCAGCAGTTGGCAGGCTCATGTCCTCCTTCCCTCCAGCTCTGGTTCCTGCTGAGAAGCCCCTGAGGGTGGGATGGGGTGAGCGTCCCCCAAGGCCTAGCACAACCAGCTTCCTGTCCCCAGTGGTCATGCCAAAGAGGCATGGGACTCAGAATGATGACCGGGGTCAACTCGGTGCTAGGAGTTCAGGAGTGACAGCTCTTCCCTGTCATGCCCTCACACGCCCAGGAGGAGGAGCTGATCCAGTCTGAGAACTCTGCCTCTATCTTCAACACGCTGTCCGATATCCCGTCACAACTGGAGGATGCAGAGCTGCTGCTGGGGGAGGCCATGCGGCTGGCTGGCTCCCTCACTGACGTGGCCGTGGAGACCCAGCGCCGTAAGCACCTGGCCTACCTAATTGCAGACCAGGGCCAGCTCCTGGGGACCAGCGGTGCCACCAACCTTTCTCAGGTGTGCTGTGGGAGGGTGGGGCAGCGGACAGTGTGGGGACCTGTGAGGATGATCAAAGTGACTGGGGTGTGGGGAACTGACTGGCCCTTCCCCACACCTCCCAGCTCAGCCTGGCTCGATTTGCCCACAACTGCCGAGGGGCCCAGCCTTCCTCAGGCATGTGCATCTCAGTGCTCTGTCCTGCGTGGTTAGGCTAGGGCAGACCCAGCTCCAAATGGAGTAGCTGCCTTTTGGATCTTCAGCACCACCCTGAGACTGGGAGATGCAGCTGGGGTGGCAGCCTCCTAGCAGCGAGTCTCTGGGCCACCAGTGCCTGCCCTCCCCCCTGTAGGTTGTTCGACGCAGGACCCAGAGGAGGAAGTCAGCCATCACCTCCCTGCTGTTTGGTGAGGACTCTGTGACAGTCGGTGCTGGGTACTGGGCAATACCGATGGGTGGTGTGACCACACACTTGTGCCTGCCTGTGCTGGACACAGCACACCTCAGTTCCACGCCTTCTAGGGGAGGACGACCTGGAGGCACTGAAGGCCAAGAACATCAAGCAGACAGAGCTTGTGGCTGACCTCCGGGAAGCTATCCTGCGTGTGGCACGCCATTTCCAGTGCACAGACCCCAAAAACTGTAGCATGGTGAGTCGTGGACTGCCCAGGCCTGTCCGAAACAGCTCAGACTTAGGGAGCGGGGGCTCCCCCAACCCCATTGGCGGTGCAGAGGCTTCTCCCTCAGTGGACCTTTCTGTCCACACCACTTCTGGCCATTCTGGCAGGAACTGACCCCAGACTATAGCATGGAGAGTCACCAGCGGGACCATGAGAACTATGTGGCCTGTTCACGTAGCCACCGGCGCCGGGCTAAGGCCCTGCTGGACTTCGAACGACATGACGACGACGAGCTGGGCTTCCGAAAGAACGACATCATCACGGTGTGTGGGGCAAGGCTCAGGAACCCCCGCACACCGCTAACCCCAACCAACTCCTTTCCTTTCCAAGAGCTTCTGCTTCTGAAAATGGGGGTGGGAGGGTCTTGGCCTGGCCAAGCTGCTGAGGACAGTGAGGCTTGGATCTCTTGAGGCACCGGCTCAGGGCAACTGGGCTTTGGTTCCTGCTGCTTTTCCTCCTGTGCAGATCATCTCTCAGAAAGACGAGCACTGCTGGGTGGGAGAGCTGAATGGCCTGAGAGGTGAGGCCCTCACCTGGGCAGGAGGTGGGCAGAGGGTGCCCTTCCTCCTCCATGCACCTATCTGGCTGGAGGCCCTGCCCCAGGCTGTGGGAATGAGCAACATGCTGCCTTCAGCCTTTTACCTGCTGTCCTTGGCCCCCTGGGGAGGAAGGGTTGGGACAGTCACCTCTTACAGGTTAGCTGCTTCTCACAGGGCTTGCTTCTCCCATAGGCTGGTTTCCAGCCAAGTTTGTGGAAGTCCTGGATGAACGGAGCAAAGAGGTAGGGAGATAGGCAGGAGCCTTGACCCTCCGCACAGCTGGCACCCTCCTCGCCAGGGCCTGCATCTCAGCTTGTGGCAGTGGCTGTGAGGCTGGGAGGAGGATGGCTGGCTGCAGATGCCAGAATGGGCTTCTGACTTATTCACCTATCAGTACTCCATTGCGGGGGATGACTCAGTGACAGAGGGCGTCACGGACCTTGTGCGAGGAACCCTGTGCCCAGCCCTCAAGGCACTGTTTGAACATGGACTGAAGAAGCCATCCCTGCTGGGGGGGGCCTGCCACCCCTGGTTGTTCATCGAGGAGGTAAGTCAGGCTGCTGATCTTAAGCCCTATCTGCCGTTGGGCCCTGCAGGGGTGGAGGAGCTTGCCAGGACAATGGCATGTGTGGGAGCCCCATCTTTCACCTGGCACCATCTGTCCCTGCATTGTGTGTCACCCCCATAGGCAGCAGGCCGTGAAGTGGAGAGAGACTTTGACTCCGTGTATTCCCGCCTAGTGCTCTGTAAGACATACAGGTAACTGCCTCCTTCCTCCTGGAGGGGTGGGGTAAAGGGGTACCCTAGGGCGGCACTGGGAGCTCTGGTCTCCCTCAGGTTGGACGAGGATGGCAAGGTCCTGACTCCAGAAGAGCTGCTGTACCGGGTAAGGGCTGCTCTGTGAGACCCCAGAGCCTTCTGGGCATGGCAGGCACAGGTGCCTAAGTGACAGCTGTGCCCTCCCCAGGCTGTGCAGTCTGTGAATGTGACCCATGACGCAGTGCACGCACAGATGGATGTCAAGCTCCGCTCACTTATCTGCGTGGGGCTCAAGTGAGTGTAGAGATGAGGTTGGGGGTATCCTCAGAAAGGACCCAAAGTAAGAGCACATTCCTCAGGGGTCAGAGCCTGCCCTGCTGAGGGTGCTCTGGGAGGGCAGTGAAGGCAGTGGCACCCAGCCCTCCCACTGTCCCCAGCGAGCAGGTGCTGCATCTGTGGCTGGAGGTTCTCTGCTCCAGCCTGCCAACCGTGGAGAAGTGGTATCAGCCCTGGTCCTTCCTGCGCAGCCCTGGCTGGGTCCAGATCAAGTGCGAGCTCCGGTGAGGGCCTCACAAGCTCCAGGTGGGGACGGGGAAGGGGAGGGGGGTCAGAGCCCACCAGCATGACAGTTCCTCCCCTTCCTCACCTCTAGAGTCCTCTGCTGCTTTGCCTTCAGCCTCTCCCAGGACTGGGAGCTCCCCACGAAGAGAGAGGTGGGTAGTGCAGCCACCCCAAGGCCTATGGCCTGCCTCTTAGAGGCTGGGGCAGGGTTGGTGCTGGTGGAGCACCCCAAATGGTTCCTGGGGTGGTTGTACGAACTGCCCAGGGTGTGATGAGGGCATCCCTGTGCATAGGAGGAGAAGCAGCCCCTGAAGGAGGGTGTCCAGGACATGCTGGTGAAGCACCACCTTTTCAGCTGGGACATCGATGGCTGACAAGCTCCCTCCAGGAGGAAGAGCAGGCACTGTGTTGGCTGGCTATGAGCCTGCTCTGGGCAGAGTCCAAGGAGGTCCAGGGAAATGAGCTCTAGAGCCTGGCTGGGACCCTGACAGGCCCTAATCAGGATGGCCCCAGGCCCCACAGAGAGTCGCTGTGCTGGGAAAAGGTGAGTGCCCAGCTCAGCCTCTTCCTCCTGAGTGCCTGGGAAGGGCTCCACCTGGCAGGGTCCTTCAGAATTCCTAGCCCACATGCAGTTTTGTACGACTGAAAACCACTTGGGGTGGGGAGAAGCTGTAGCTGCTTGTCAGTCTTTGCTCAGGAAGGGGGGGGGATGGCTAATAGCAGATGAGGCTTCTTGGCCTCTGATTTGTAAATAAACTGTTTGAGAAAGCACCTCATGTCTCTTCTGGTGAGCGCTGCAGAGCTGTGTGTCCAATGCCTGTCCTTCCAGGAATGGAGAATGCAGTGTGTGCTCAGCACATCTCCCAAGTTAGCTGACAGGAGTTAGGATCAGGGTCACTGCATGGCCCCCAGATGCTGGGACAGAGGCAGCCAGGCCCCCTGGCAGGGTCCTTCAGAATTCCTAGCCCACATGCAGTTTTGTACGACTGAAAACCACTTGGGGTGGGGAGAAGCTGTAGCTGCTTGTCAGTCTTTGCTCAGGAAGGGGGGATGGCTAATAGCAGATGAGGCTTCTTGGCCTCTGATTTGTAAATAAACTGTTTGAGAAAGCACCTCATGTCTCTTCTGGTGAGCGCTGCAGAGCTGTGTGTCCAATGCCTGTCCTTCCAGGAATGGAGAATGCAGTGTGTGCTCAGCACATCTCCCAAGTTAGCTGACAGGAGTTAGGATCAGGGTCACTGCATGGCCCCCAGATGCTGGGACAGAGGCAGCCAGGCCCAGCCTCATCGCCCACCTGTTTGTGGATGGAATAAGAGGGACCTGCGAACCAGTGTTTTTGTTTTTATTTTAAAAAGTTAACACAGCTTTCCCATCTCTGTCCCAGCACTGGTTTTGGTGACTCCGTTCCTCCTCCCCTGTGGATCTGATCCAAACCTGAGGCGGGAGGGGACCCAAAGGAGACCAGTTACGTGGCCACCTTTCAGCCCACAGCAGGGCAGCGCTGGTCCCGAGGCTCCCCAAGGACGTTAGCTGCAGTGAGGCGGCAGGTTGGAATGTGGGCAGGTGGAATGCTCCCAGCTGGGTGGCCAGGAACTACCTCTGCCCTCATGGCACTGATAAGCCAGAAAGCCAGGCAGGTGGGCACAGCTGTGGCAAGTGTTTGTCTACACATCAAACACGTGATGGGGTGGGTGGGCCTGGGCAGCTGCACACCAGGCCAGGCACCAGATTGAGCAACACACAGCTCAGAGTGACCCTGCATTCAGATACAGGAGCTGTGGCCTCCAGGCCCTTCTGTGAGAGCAGACTGGGAGGGAACTGCACCCCCCCATATATGCATATATATATGTATGTTGATATATAATATAGAGGTATATACACCTGTACAGAAAGTCACCAACCACTGCACTACACTGATACACTAAAATGGCAGGGAGCCCTCTCAAAAACCTTGGGACCCTGGGGTTAGCTGACATGGGGCATAGGGAGGCAGCAGCCCAGGCTGACTTCCCCGTCACAGCTAAGGGGGAGGGAAGGAAGGAGTCATCCTTTAACCCACCTTGGCCCTGGGCAACAAGAGAAGCCTCTGGGCTGAGCCTCACCTGCCTCAGTCAAATGAACGGGACAGTGCACCTCTGACCTCAAAAATGGAGGTCAAACTGAAATGGCTCCGGCCCTGTCCAGGTCTCTTAAACCCTGGTTTGGGAACCAGAGCTGTTTCTTGACAGCTTCTCTCCTCCACCGTGGGTGAGCCTGAGCCAGGAATAGGAAGCCCTCTGCTCCAGCCTCCCAGAGAAGGGGAAAAACCCCAAACAGGGACTGTGATTGTCAAGACTAACAACCACCATGTGGAGAAAGCCACACCTGGTAAAGTTCTGTGGCTCCCAACGTTCAGCCTTTCCCCACCCCCAGTCTCTGGAGCCAGAGAACTATAAGCAGGAATCCCAGTGTAGCTGCAAATCATGGCCATCAAGGAAGTCCGTGGAGAAGAGGCTGGGGGCTGTGGTGCTCAGGGGGGCCAGGCTCAGTACGGGGCCACCTGATGACAGTTCCAGCCAGTCCATGCTGTCCAGGTGGCCATCGGCCAGGTCCAGGCCCATGCTGCTGGGGTCCGGAGCAAAGTGCAATTCTGAGGTGTCCATGGGTGATGGGGGATGGTCTAGGATGGCAGAGCTGCTCAGCATCTGGCTGTGGAGGTCGTCAATGAGAGAAAGGGGCTCTGGCCCTTCGTGTCCCCCAGTCAGCAGGGGCAGCCCTGTGCTGCTCTCTAGGAAGTCCTCCAGGCGTCCAGGGAGGGAGGGCGAGCCTGGTGGAGGAGGGGCAGCCTGGGGGAGCTCAGCAGAGGGTGAGGGTTGTGAGGTCAGTGGGGACCCGCAGCCTCCTGTCGAGGGCGCCTTCTCCTTCCCTGACAGGGATGGTGGCTCCTTGAAATCCGCTGGAATTTCTGCCAAAATAGACAGAACAAATGTCAGACACCAGGTGTGAATACAATGGAAGGAAGATGGACCATCACCTCATAGACAGCAATAAAATGGATCTAAGAGTTAAAACAATAAAGCATTTAGAAGAAAACACAGGGAAATATGAAACTGGATTTGCTAATGCAAAATCCAAAAGCACAGGTGAACAAAATAGACATGAAAACCAAACACTTTTGTGGGGCTGGCAGGTGACGTGGCGATTAATGTGCTGGACGCCCACATGGCTGACTGTGGTTCGATTCCCAACCTGACGGCTTACTTTCTCATCTCCTCTCTCTCTCTCTCCCCTCCCCCCAAATTAAAAAATAATAATTATGGAGCCAGCAGGTGGTGTGGTGGTGAAGGCACTGGACACTCCTACATGGCTGACCATGGTTCGAGGCCCGGGCCTGGTGGCTTGCTTTCTCACTTTCCCTCTCTCTCTGTGTCTCTCTCTGGTCAAATTAAAGTAAATGAATGAATAAAGAATTAAATAAATAAATCTTTTTAAAAAATAGTAATAAAAGTTAAATAATTCTTAAAAAAAAAAACAAAAACAAAACTTCTGTGCATTACAGGCCACTAGAATAAGAGAGTGAAAAGACAATTCACAGAATGGAAAAAATATGTACAAGTCAAATATTTGATAAGAGATTAACACCTGGACTATATAGAGGACTCTTAAAACTCATCAAGACACAGGCCAGGAGATGGAGTAGTGGACTCCCACATGGCCAACTGTGACACAAGTCCTGGACCCAGTTGGCTTGAATATCATGCCAGGCATGTGTGCCTAAAGTCCTGAGAGAAGAATGGAAGAGAAGGGATTGAGGTGTGGCCATCCCCACTTTGGGCTGGGGTTGATCTCACTTTCCCTCTCACTGTCTCTCTCTCATCTCGCTTTCCCTCTCACTGTCTCTCCCCAGCGAGCACTCACACCCTAAGGCAATAAAAAATCCTCTATTAAAAAAAAACTCATCAAAAAATAATCTCTTTCAAAAACGGGCAAAGGAGAGAATAGACATTTCTCTAGGGAAATACAAATGGCCAATAGCATATGCTCATTAGGAAAATGCAAATCAGAACTACAATGAGATACCACCTCAAAATCGAGTTATCTATCACCAAGAAACAAGCCACAAAGAGAAATTAAGGATTGATAAGGATGTGGAGAAACTAGAACCCCTATGCACTGCTGGTGGAAACAAAAATGATTAGGCCACTGTGGAAAACAATCTAGGCCAGTTCCTCAATAATTAAAAACAGAATTACCTTGGGACCAGCAGTTAGTGTAATAGCTATGTTGCTGGACTCCCATGTAGTCGGCCGCGGTTCAAGTTCCGAACCCGGTGGCTTAAACTCACACAGGGCACGTGTGCATGCATGCCCAAGATCCCAAGAGGAGAAAGAAGAAGGGATTGCAGTGTGGCCATCGCCCCTGGGAGGTGATTTCTTGCTTTCTTTGTCTGTCTGTCTGGCGAGTGCGCACGCCGCCCCTGGGAGGTGATTTCTTGCTTTCTTTGTCTGTCTGTCTGCCGAGTGCGCACGCCCTATAGCAAAAACCTCTCCAGAAAAAAAAACAATTACCATATGGTCCAGCAATCCTGCTTCCAGGAATATATCCAAAATAACTGACAGCAAGGAGGGTCTGAGAGAGAACCTGCACAGCCTGCATGCTGACTGCATGCAGCAGCACACTCACATTAGCAACCCAAGAACCCACTGATAGCTGCACCTTGAAAACGCCATGCTCTGTGATGTACGCCAGGCACAGAGACAAACTGTGATCCTGTTCATTTGAGTTGCCTGGAGTAGTCAGGTTCACATAAAGCACAATGGGGGATGTGGGAAAGGAGTACTACCTAATGGGTACAGAGTTCAAGTTTGAGATGATAAAGTTCTAGAGAGAGACTGCAGTGGGGACCAGAAGGTGACAGTGGGTAAGGTGCGGAACTCCCATGTGGCTGACCACATTTCAAGTCCTGGACCCAACATACACACGCCAGGCATGTGTATGTTTGTGTCCAAATTCCAAACAGGAGAATGGAGGAGAAGGGACCATGGCGTTTCCACAACCCCCCCAAAGTGATTTCTCAATTTCTATCTCTTGTCTATCCAGTGAGTGCGCGTGCCCTATAAGCAAAAATCTCTTAAAAAAAAAATAGATTGCCGTGATAGTTGCTTATGATTGTGAATGTATTTAATGCCACTGAATTGTACATTTAAAATCGGCTGCAATGGGCCAGCAGGAGGTGTGGTGGTTAAGGAACTGGACTCCCACATGGCTGACCATGGTTCGAGTCCTGGACCTGGCAGCTTGCTTTCTCTTTCTCTCTCTGGTCAAGCTGAAGAGTTATAAGTTTTTAAAAATGGCCTTAATGGCCAAATTTACATATTGCACAATTAAAAAATATACAGAGACCAAGCTGTTTCCCTACCCCCATTCCAACTATATGGCCTCTTCCCTCTGCACTGATCTCATCTGACAAGGAGCCTTGGCCTATTTGCCTAGCTGCCATCACATGTCCCAAGACCCTCTTCTGACATCTGTGCCACCTCTCTGGCCAATTCTCAGTGTGCGCAGGCAGCAATCCTCCATTTCCCTTTCTCTGTGAGCCCTAAAATGCCAGCATTCAAGGCCTGCCCACTCTGCCTTCTCGAACAACCTCTCCTCCCCGGTAGCCGCATCTACCCAGTTGGTTCTGTCTGGACGCTGGGAGTGTGTGTACTGTGTCAGCAGCCTCATTACCACCTATTTGGTGGGAAACACACCTCAGGCAGCCTTGGGAACCAGAGACTCCCTAAGGCTAGAGAATGAATGACCTTGGGCGGAACTCAGCTATTGAACTTTTATTTCAAATTGAAATAAAATGCATGTAACGTGGACTGCAACATTTTAAAGTGTATAGTTCTGTGGTTTAATCCTCTCCCTGCTGATAGGATTAAAGTTCTCAGCGAGAATGCTGTAGTCCACATGGTGTAGTCCCTGCCTGCTCACTATCCCACATGCTCTGCCTTCTTGCCTGTTACCCCCATTCAAGCGGCTGGGCTCCTCCTGGCACTTCTTCAGGACTCTGGCTGCTGGGCCAGACAATGACAACTCCCCAACCTCATAACTCAAGCCCAGCGCGTTCTCACTCCCTCTCACGCAAGAGCCAGTCACATGGCTCCTCCACTCAGATGCTTCATGACAAGAGCCCTGTCAGGCTGTGCCACTGTCCCCCCACACATGCCCCCACAGCTCACCCATGAGTGGATGGCAATTCACCCTGGTCCCTCGGAGTCACCTGCTCTTTTCCTTTGGCTGCACCAGAATATCAAACTGGCTCGCTCCTGATCATGTCCAGACCACAGGCCCTCACACCACAGCCCTGCTGCTGCTCTGCCTCATGAAGGGGCTCCCTGCTTCTGGCCTTGGGCAGCTACCATCGCTCAGAGCTGTGCCAGGGCTTCCACTCTGCCCACCCCCTGGATTCCAGCATGGTCTGGTCTAGGACAGGTGACATGTTCCCCTCTTCTCTTGCTCACTCCATTCTGATGAGCCAGATACTGGTTTCCCCCTTACTCACGGCTACTGGTCTTACCTCCTGCTTACCCCTTTGCTCTCAAGACTTGTCCTCTCCCTCCTCATCTCCTTGTTCGCTAACCCTACTTGCTGACATTCCATGTAATGTGCTTATTTATTATATTTGCTGTTTATCACCCTATAGTAGACCATGAGCTCCACAAATGCAAAGGTCTCTATGTACACATTGATGCACCTGGACACCAGGAGCATTGGAGGAACCACACAGAAGGTGCTGGGTGAAATGACTGTTGGTTGAAGGGCTGCACCAGCCAGGTCTCACCAGGCACCCAGGTCCTGAGCACGAGGCATGCCTCTGTCACTGCTGTCCATACCACTGGTACAAGGCCTGCCAGTCATATGTGTGTTCAAGAAATAAATCGAACATACCCACCTATGGGTAGAGACAAAACAGAAAGGTAAGACTAGAGAAGTGGGGGACCCAGGCTCACCTCCGCTCTGAATGAGAATGTCAAACAGGTCATCCATCTGCTGGCTAGAGGAACCGTTTTCCTAGAGGACAAAAATTCGGGGGGCAGAGGGGATGAAAATCCAGAAAAAGGGGCACCCAGCCCCAGAGACCCTCTCCATTAGCCATTCACTGCTGCTCCCGCCCTGATGACTATTCCGAAGGCCTCCTGCACCCCAGTAGCTCTGCTTTCTGCCTGCTCCTGTCCCTCCAGGTTGCTGAGGGAGAGACAGCGCAGTGACCGGGGGTGATGCCCAGCCTAGCCTCACCACTCTGCCTCTTCACCTGCTGCTTGGGCTGCTGGCTCACAGCTTCCTTGTAGCCAGGTGGTTCCTTCTTCAGGAGGGAAGCAGGAGTCCCAAAGAGGGGCTGTGGTGAGTGCTCCAGGTCCATCTGGGCAGGCGGGCCAGGGGCTGGAGAGCCAGGCTGGGACGAGGGCTGGACAGGACAGGCAGAGGCACAGTGCTGGGGGCGAGGTGGTCCTGTCTTATGGGGGACAAGGCCAAGCCCCATCAGGAAGGTAAGGTGAAGGCGCTTGCTTCTCCGTAGCACTGGCTTTGAGGGAGCTTTTGCAGAAGTCATTGGGGAAGAAGGGATGCAGGATGGGGACCCGGCCTCTGACAGTGGGGGGACAGAGCAACTAGCTACCTGGGGCTTGGCATAAGCCACATGAGGAGAGAGGCAAGGCCTCTGGGCTGTCCTCCAGAAATATCTGCACCCTCTTTTCTGCCTAAAGTTGTTCAGGAGCATTTGTCCCTTAACCTGAGGTGCCTAGTTCTCGCCACTGTCTGCCCTACCCCCCAAGCTCTGAAGACCAAGAGGGATGTGAAGCCTGAGAACAGTCTCACCTTGGTCCCAGGTTGGGTGGAGGATCTGGGCTGGGAGGGTGGTAGCAGCAGGGAGCCATCTGCTCCTCTGACAGTCTCTCCTTAGGGCAGACTTCCCTGACCCTCACTGGTTCCCCTCCCCATCCCCCAGCAGTATAATGGGGTCCTGGACCTGCTGTCAGGTGCAGAAATGCTTTGAAATCCATGGTCAGAGCAGTGGGCAGCTAGCTCCTCGACAGTCCCACCCTCATGGGCTTCCCTAACTTTCCCAAATCTCAGGGCCCTCCTAGGTGAGATAGGGACAGCATACCCAAAGGTGGGAGGAAAGGACCAAATGGAGCAGACAAGGTGCCAGCACACAGGGCACCCTCCCGTGGGCTCTGCCCCGCCCCTCCATGCTAGGTACCTGCTGGGGGCTCCTGCTGGACAGGCAGGGGCTGTCTGCATTCTTATTGGTCACAGTGAGGACGAGGTGAGTCCCAGTGGAGTCGGTGATAAGGGTGGGAGGTGCAACTCCCTTGATGAGGCTGGGACTCTGTGGGCCCAGAAGTAGCTGGGGTTGGGGTCTAGGGGCCAGCTCAGGCTCAGACGGTGTGGCTTCCTGCTTCACCACCACACCTGGGGCACCAGTGGGGGCTGCAAGGCTGGAGCTGAAGGGGTGAGCGGGACCCAGGGGCTGTTGGCTCAGCTGGCAACTGGAGAAGCTGTTCTCCTGCTTCACAACAGCGCCAAGTGGGCCAGGGGTGGGGGCAGGCTGCTGGGCCCGCTTCTCCTGCTCCAGCTGCAGCCGGAGGCCCTCCCCCCGC